AAAAAAAAAAAAATCCGGAATGCAAGATTTTCCATCAGGAACGTCAACCAGAGGGAATAAAAACAGACCCTCTTGGTGTCTTCGTCGCACTTCCCCCCCTCCATCTCCGGTTTGAGTCCAAGTGAAGATAATGACGATGATGATGATGAGGGTGACGGCGAGGAAGTCACCGTGCAGACAAGATGCAATCCTGTTTTTACTTTGTGTTCATCAGACAATCATTTTAAGTCGTAAGCACCTTTTTTAATACACTTCTGTCACTGCCTGTGTGGGGTACATGGTCAAAAATGTCGAACGGATCCGTTTATGACTGTATCAGATTTTTATTTTTATTTCCGAAATTTTATATTGAATTATGTATATCTCAAATAATGCGATCATTCTCCCGGTCTGTAATATACGTGTAGAAATATGCTTGTACATAATTATTGCTCTCCCTACCGTGTCATCCTCTTTTCTATCCCTTCCTCACTTTTCTTGACTTGGTGTTCCTACATAAAATATTTGTCAAAACTTAAAACTGAAGTGCTGCAGGCGTTTTTGTTGCTTTTTGGCGGGTCAAATAACTTATGGCATGCATATAATGTGATATATATTTAAATGCCCATCCTCTTGTTTACATGCTGCCTCTGAGTTGCTCAGTTGCTTAACCTTATCTTCTGTTTTTCTTCTTGCGTCTTGAATCACATCAAACGTTTCTAAATCAAATTAACTCCTTGTCTTCCTACACGCCTGTGCATCTCCCCTGTCTTTGCATCCGGTTACAGATAAGGACGTTGAAAAGTGGCTGAACACGTTAATATTAGGTCATTATTGGATTGTGGGAGCATTAATGTTCATCATGGCTTATGCGTCCCGGGAGCAGGTTATGAATTCAAAAGGCTGAAGTGGCTTAGTTCAGCAGTTAGAAATTACAGCTGGATTTAAAAAAAAGTTATAGGTGTAATATCCTAGAAGACATTCTTTACGCATGTCTTCTTTTGTGATTCAAACCTGTGCTGAGGTGTAGGTGAAATGGTTCCATATGACAGCCGCTGTATACAAATTTTGGCAAACGTCAACGTCATGCAGTACTTAAAAATGTGAGTGCTATTTCCCCTTTTGTTTACCGTTGCTAGTGAATACAGAAATTAAGTAAACGCGCCATTAAATGGGCTAATCACGATGGGACTCCTCCCCTGTCCCAATCTCCCATTGTGGCCCCTGAAAAGAGCTTTTCTTCCTCGGACGAGAACCATTTCCCCCTCCAAAAAAGAGAGAGAGAAAGGCTTTCTCTCCTGCAGTCCTTTTCCATCCAAATCCCCTACCAATTATGCTGCAGACTGGAGCAGATTTGCTATCGGACACTGTTGCACGAACGACCACATTTTTGGTGGAAACACTTTCTCAAAGATTTGTTTCGCTCAGGATCTCGCCATGTAAATATCATGTGATACGCGTTTGTGGGTACTGCAATCAGGTCTTTAGCGACAGAAAGTAGGACGGGATTGTCGTTTGGCTTAGGCAGATTTAGAAATTAAGAGGCAGCGGAGGGGACATCAGCATTGGAAACTTTCAGCTTTTTAATCTGTCGCTGCTTTTATATTGAATACTGAGACTTATATGTGGTGCGTAAAAATATGGTGTTTAAGTGTCTGTGTTGAGATTAACAAGAAATTATAAAAAAGTGATGCATTTTTAGCAGCAATCTGAAAGTTTAATTAAGAATTACCCAAGCAATGTGTGCGCGTAAATGCGCAAGCTTTTGGGACAGATAGGGAACATTTATCATGTAGACTTGAGACTGCGGAACCAAATTTCCAAAGGAAAAAAAGACTCAGGTTGCTTGGTTGTGTTATAGTTTTTATGTTTAAAAAACAAAACAAAACAAAAAAGATGATTTGTTTAATAAAAATAGTGGCGAAACGGCTAAATCTGAAATGTGGTTGACAGGAGTATAGTTGTTAGAGTAGTATTGACCTGATTCAATTTCCTTCTTGCGTTAATGTTATCAGTGGGATGAAATGTGCCTTCTTGTTAAAGTCTCTCCCACATAGATAGCAATCAAAACACAAAACAGGGAGATGAACAGTTTCAGGCGAAGGACCTCTTAGGCCTATGATCTAGAAATAAATGAGACCATGAACTAGTCAAAGTGCATACCTGCTTGGCTGAAACAAACCTCCTCCTGCTTCACTCATCAGCAGTTGATTGCGGATGAATTGAATCTGTATATTTTGAATCTATTCCGGATCTTAAATCAGTCTGCAAGGGACAGATAGGCCCTATCAAGAGCACTGAGGGGCCGTAGCACCACCAGCCCCTAATCATTCAGCCCCCACGTCTCCATTTACGCCGTCCACAACTTTTACTGGCTGCGACAAGTCCCGGCGAAGATTGAGATTAAATTAATCGTAAACTGAAGAGCTTTTTTTTTATCGGCAAAAAAGACACGAGGATTAGGGATATATCTGAAAGATGGAGCCACAGATAGGAGCTCATGAATACAAAACAGTCCATGAATGGGCTTCATTTGCGCAACATTAGGTTCATTAAACCCATAGTGCTGGAAAACGCAGCTTAAATATGCACTCAAACTTAATTTGCTTTAAGAAAACTAATGTAAATGAGGTGTTTATCTGAAATAGTGTGTTAAAAAAAATAAAGTTCTCAGTCACATTTCACACCCAAAGAGGTGTTTTGTTTTGATGCTGTTTGGGTGTAACCAGTACACACAAACAGTCAATATGAACTCACCATAATAATGATTTTCTATTAGAGAGTGTGACATGTAAATTAGAAGCATCTAAGTAAGTAACTTTATTGTTCATGGGGGAAACATATGTAGGCCAGGGGAGCAGAAGTAAAAAGCATTGCAAGTTTGGGTCTATCTGTTGCTGGCTGGGGTCATTAACAGTGGGGGAGCTCTTGTTCGTGATCTGTCAACTCAAATATGGATCACAAGACAAAGGAACTTAGCGAAGAGTAATCTCTGTGTGTGATACTTACATGAGAGTAAACGAGAATGTGAGACAAGTGCGGCAACAATGGAGACTCAGAGGTTTTTCGCCTTCTCGCCCCCCGAAGTTGTTTTTTCTGATTTTGTGGCGTATCAGGGGCGAGCTGAGCAACAACAACCATAAAGATGATTAGGTTGGCAGGGCTTTAAGATTTTAAGTGATTACTTTAAGGAAACAAAAGCTAAATCGAATGCTTTTCCGAAAAACAGAAATAATTTGCGTTTGGGTCGATGGTTGTTGTCGTGCTTGATCCGCTTAGAGGTCAAAGCTTCCCTTTCTATCAATTTCTAAATAAAACATAGTGCGCAGCAAAGTTAATGCAGGCAATGTCATTCCAACTGAAGGGAACCAGAGGAGGGAGGAGGCCGGGGTTTGGCTGTGAAACTTGCCCTGCCCTGTTCTTTCCCGTATTTCACCGGTTAACTGAGCACAACTCTCCTATTGGTGTGTATTCATGCAGCACCCAAAGAGCTCCAGTTTTCTTATAGAGGTTCACGAGCGCGGCCAGAATGACCGGCGCCCTTCGGAATAAACTTCCAGCTCTCAGTGTCTCCTTCTCTTATAGGTAAGACGAAAGGGAATGCAGCTTCCTCCGTCTGCCTTCCGTGATCGGGTGTAAAATACATGCTGCATTTATCTTATTCTTTAGAAAGTAAAAAGAAGCGAGTGTGCATGAGTTAAACTTCACAATATCTTCAACCGTAACCCCACCCTTTGCCCTTTGAGGACATTGCAGCAAATAGCTCAGTCTTTCCCCCCCATTAGGAGTATTACGCAGGTCATATTGGTAAAGAAGTACCATAAGAAGTCAACAAAGTAAGGTGGAATATTATCAAGGTGTTTATGTGTGCCACCGTATTTAGATGTTCCTATGCTGAGTGAATTGTGCGTGAATTTACCAACGCCAGCCGCCGTGCACCTGCTGCTAGATGACAGCTGATCGACCCCCAGGCTGTATCTCTCACACGCACACATTCACTGGCACGTACTCCCCTACAAGACGACGTTAGCGTTTAAAAAAGAGTCGGTAAATGAAACGGTGTTTCGGAGGTCACATAAGGCAGGGGCAGCGATAGACAGGGGCGCGTTGGATAATGCGACAACGTCCAGGCAGCTGGGATCACGCTCTCTCTCTCTCTCTTAGTCAGGTCAGTGTGTGTGTGTGCGTGTGTGTGTGTGTGTGTGTGTGTGGCGACGGTGGTGGGGAGGCGGGGTGTCAAGACAAACTCCAGCCTAATGCTTATTAGTGTGGACTGCCAATGCACAAGCTTCATCTTTTTAAAACAAGCATAACATGAAAGCAACCCAAATCTAGCTTACTCAAGCGAAGTCACCCCCCCCCTCCCCCTCCCCCTCCCCCTCCCTGCACACACAGGTCTCTCTCACGCGCGCGCGCGCACGGCCTTGCACGGAACAGCACATATGGAGCTGGTGAGTGTGTGTTGGGGGGGGGGGGGCTGAGCGCAGGCTGTGATCTCTCGCCTTGTGCACACCGACTGGACAGAGGGCTGAGCAGCTTAAATGGAGCCCCAGCACCTGTGATTTCTACGGCCGTTCTCAGGCCTTCTTAGCAGGGCACGGCGCGGACGCATTCACGGACGCCCTCCAACACGCAGATATTGTTTACTTGTGCGTGGAGCACAAGTAAAGGAGAGGGGTTAAGATCATTTTCCATGGAGCACAAACAATGTTTTGCCGTGTGATGGATGTATATGATTA